TATTGCGCCAGGCCTTCCGGTCCTTCACTGCCTCCCTGAGTTTGCTCAGTTTCATGCTCATATGGTCATGCTCATATGGTCATATCTCTACCAGGAATAATAATATGCCTTTGGGTTTGTCACAACATGCAAAGCAGCATTAGTTGCTTGTTCTTTCAAATATCTAGTTCAAAGATTATCATTATTTGGTATGACATCTTTATAAGAGAATAAAGAATAGTTAATGGGAGGCATTTTTTTTTTTACTGACCCAAAAGAAGATAAAATCCAGATACACCAGGAAGTGTGTCACAGAGGCCTATAAATCATTCCGCCTGGAAGGCTGTGTTATATCAGATGACAAGGTACCAATTCTGAGAGCTGGAGAAGTTTTTGTTGTTTTCCAGATGACAGAGTTGCTGTCCAAACAGCCCTCATGTTTTTCTTGCCTGTATTTCCTATAGATTTCTTCAAGCACTCTCATGTATTTAAGTGTGTTTTTAATCAATCTCTCTCCCGGCCTGTCTTGGGTTTCAGGGGGTGGGAAATAAAAAAAGACTGAAAGAGCTGGAGAACATGACACAGTATCATCAAAGGTGACACTGGGATCAATGAAGACATCCAGGCATGTTGCTACTTCAGACAGAACAGCAAATGGTGACCTTCCTCATCTCAAGATGCAGAGTACCCAAAGTGGATCAAATAATGCTGGTATATAAAATGTAAAACCCAACAGGCATTTCCTCCCTCCTTCCTGGCTTCAACACAAAATTAATGAACGAACCAACCTTATTGTTCTGTCTGAATGGGACCATCCAGCCTTACTGATATACAGGGGAGAAGTAGCATTTGGTTTATTTTCATTCTTCTCTGAAAAACTGTCTCCCATTGTTTGCTGGTCTAAATGTTCCTCATCTTCTAAAGGTGCATCAGAGCACTGAGAAGACCCTCACTTGTTCCTGATTGTTTCTTCCTGCTTCACCCCATACCCCACCTTCAGGCTTGCTAGTCTGAGTGGCTGGGCAGAGTGGTGTGGGGGGTAAAGCAGCAGGAAGCACCCTCCACCTCTACCCCCTTATTCCTTGCAACCCGTAGATTGTGGAAATGGTCTTAAAAATGTTTTAGTCCCTGTTCTGGTTATCAGTATGGTAAAGTACAAGATTCTGGATACGTCTGTGGTACAAATGTGACTGAATAATGAGTCAGCTAAAGATTAGATTTGTGGAGGTATATACTGAACAAAGATCGAAGAAAATGCAGTGTGTTCACATGTGTATGTGATGTATGTGAACAAGGAAGAAATAAATTTAATGATTTTATTTTCATTATTTAGATCTGGAAAAGTGAAATAAACGTATCTGTGAATGTAATACATAGTTTGCTTCAGCAGTTTGCAACAGTGACATTTTTGATAATTCAAAACAAAGTATATAGCAGGTAACAATACTATATATGTTCCTATATTGGGCCACTGTGGACTGATAATCAATGTTGCCTAAAAACTAGTATGTTTTTGTGGCTTTATCCTCATCTTTTCTTCCAAGTCAATGAAATTCATACCTATGTTCATACCTTACCTATAATATTAGAGATCATGTGACTGAAGTTCAGAATTTCTCATCCTCAAAAGGAAAGTTGAGCATGACAAGTAAAAGCAGATGTCTCTCATTTGGAGCACTGTTTTTGTTTAAAAAGATAATGAATATATTGACATCTTTTCAATATTAATCTCAAGTTCGCATGGTATTGTTTCATTCAAGAAGAAAAATAACATCAATTTGAGGATTTATTATTTCAATAACATTCCCTTATTGTTACCTAAACATTTTAAGAGATTTAAACCAAAAACGTAAGTTTAGGTAAATTAATAACAGTTTATTATAAGGTATACCTGAGTTTTAAGTCACCTAAATAACAGTTGTTTAAAAAGTAAGTATTTAGGCAACTGCTTTTTTTAGGATTATATACAATATGTTCAAATGAAAACTGTGACAAAAGGTTCCAGGAACTGGCAAAATTATAGACAATGCCTTTAGCAGTATCTTCTGAAAAATGATACTATTGATTATATAATGATTATTACATGTAATTGGCAACTTAGGTAAGAAAAAAAAGAAACAAAAGTTATTTGGGGTGTAAGGCGATTCTTAAAATTTCATAAAATAAAGAAGTAGTAAAGAAATTTTCATAAACAGTGGGGTGAATTCACTGCCCTACAAACTCAGCTCATGAAATTGAGCAAAATCCAGTGGAGGCTTGTTGTCTCTTAACTAAGAACTGCTGGAAATAGGTGGAGGTTGGTAATTTTTGCTGATTTCACCTTTTCCCTGCAGCCTTAAGTACCTCCACCTATACTTTCTGAGAAGATCCCCCAACCCTGCAGAGGAGATTATTTTTATAGAGAGAGAAGTTGCATAGAGTGAGAATCAATGAAAATTAGCTCTTCCTCTTCTGCTGATAGATAAGTTATAGATGGGCAACTTGTGGACTATTATATGTTGCTGAAGTCCTGCTGTCCTCAGCCCTAGCCTATATGACTGGTGATAAGGTTTTTGGGAGCTACAATCTAGAAGCATGATGGAAGACAACAAATTAACAAGCTCTGATTCAATTTCACACTCACTGTTAATTTGTAGATTCAAGCCAATATTTGTAGTTGTTCACTTATCAGTTCTGTTCCTAACAGTATCCTTAACTGGGGCAAGCGCAGGGGGTCCAAGAGAGGGGGAGGGAGGCAAAAAAGTAAAAATGGTGGTTTTGACCATGCAATTGTGACTGCCATTTTGTCTTATTTTACATTCTCTGTGGATGCAGCTGGTCAAGGTGATGGTGGCGGCCTATTAGATCAACTAACCTCTGGAGAACTAAATAGCCCCAGAGAGAGCAGCTACACATTGGATGAAATTCACCCAGTCAGTGATGTAGGACTGCATGACCAGTTTTGCACAACTAGTCATCTAAAATAAATGGCATTACTTGCTCATGGGAAATCAGGTTCTTTTGGAAGAAAGCAGTGGTAGAACACATTTTGTAGTCCCAACATGGTGACATTTGAGCCACCTGATATGACTGTATACTGCCAAAACCTTCACTAAGAAGATCTGACTGGATTAGTACTGACTTAATTAAGCATATCATAGAAACAGGATGTGTTACGAATGCCATGTACTGCATGGCCGTTTTTTTTTTCCAGTCTGAGCATTTCTAAAACAGGAATGCTTAAATTGTCCTTAAATAATTTCACTGCACATTGCCCTCTTTCCACCCCCATTATAAAACAAAACAGAAAGGAACAAATGATTGGAATCTTTTTCATAAAAATAAATACTAGGTTAATGCAAAATTTCATTCATTGGCTACATTATCCAATACGTAAAATGCCATGCTTGCTGCAGACTTAGAAAGAAGGTCCAGCCAATTTTATAGCTCCTTGATCACAGGTTTGCATCTAATAAGAATACTAAAAAAAAAAAAAAAGCATTTCACCCTATCTATAGCATTAGTAAGGCAAAGAAGGTGAATCCTTTCAGCTGTGTAGGAATATGTTCTAAATTCATAGTACTCAGTGCATATTAAAAAAAAAAAAAAAAAAGCATTTATTTTGAGGGCAGAAAAGCCTCTGAAAAATGAAATAGAACAAATCAGAAAATTACTCGATCTTCCTGGGATCTTTCCCAACTAATTGTTCCATTTAATGTACCAAAATTGCTGTCTTCTTCCTCTTGTTCTTTCACAAGTTCCACAAATACCTAAAATAAACAAACAGTGCATGAGTGTTTTAATGACAACTTTTCCTCACTAGAATTCCACTCAGCAGGTGGGCAGATTTGTGACTGAAGCTAGTTAAAGATTCAAAATTCACAGCCGTAGTCCTCCTCAGTTGCATCCTTTCATAACTTGGAGATAAACCTCTGAAGGAAGGAGGTCAAGGCTCCCCATATCATGTGCTGGGTCTCTGTTTATAAAGAAGTCTTCCTGCTTCAAGGCTGAAACTTTTGGAGACTTAGGAAGAGATGCAAATGAGCAGACAGAGTAGTGATAGAAGAAGAGAAGGCTTGCCTGCCCTCTTTCATAGAATTTTTGATATGAGGGCAAGACCCTCTTAAGAAGGGTAGCGTTTGTTTTTCTAAATCTTCTGTTTTCTTACAACATTGTGAATGAAATATTGGCTCCAAATGGCATGCCTATGCCTTTGTGACAGAACAGGAAAACAAATGGACATTTATGAAATTATGGATGGATATGAGAGTTTCATATAAGAGACTGGACTGAAACTTGTGGAAAATATAAATTTGGAGGGCATATTATGATTTTGTACTGGAGATGTTTGTTTAATTACCTGATCAAGTGTTGCTTGAGAGAAGCTGTATTCTTCAACATTAAGGGCATGTTTTGCTGTTAAAAATGTCAGAAATAACTGTTTATTCCTTAGTGAGTGAGCATATATTATAACATGTTATACCTTGGCATTAGTAAAGATGATACAAAAGGTAACTTTTCTGGGACTTCACAGGCAATTTAATGACTAATTCTGACTTCCACATTCTATTAAGGTTGTCTGAAGTATCCAAAGGATCCATCCTGAAGAAAGCATCTTATGCAACATTACAACACATGTATAAAAGGGATGGTACTTGTAGTGCAACAGCATAACACTGTTTTTCTCATTTTCTTCCCTTTGTGGGCACTTCCAAAAGTTGCACACCCTCAGTTGTTAACGTTGCAGCAACTGGCAGCATGTGTACACTTCCAGTGTAAGTTTGTGATAACGTTTGAGAACTTAATGTCATGCTGCTTTAATGGTATAAAATGTGTCCCATGAAAGCAAGTCCAAAAAACTGTAAGCTTTGCTAATCAGAAAGCAACAAGAAAAGGTTACCAGAAAACAAAAGGTTGGATAAAAGGACAAATGCATATAGAAAATATAATGTAATAGGATGATGCTAGTGGTGAGAGACAACACGGTGAATTTCAGTCAACATAAAATTAAGGTGGATAAGTGAGGATGAAGGTTCTATTGTAATCAGTGTACTTAGAAAATTAATACCTTACCTTCCTCCAGTTTAGAAAAAACCAATGCAAGTGACTGGACATCTTCTCTTGGAATTTTATATGCCAAAATTGAAGCAAAACTGTAACAAAATAGATAATAGCATAAGCCTCAACAAGAGGCACATGGCTTCAGCCATGTTGCAGTTATTATTATTATGGCTGGTTGCACAGTCAGCCAGATGTTTAGACGGGATTTGGCCTTTTTATCCACCTATCAAGTCCTTCCCAAGGACCTGGGATAGGCAGATGTGGTTGTTTGACGGTGTTAAAGGTATTGTCGCAGAATGGAAGCTGTTCCAAGTAAAACTGCCTTTTGCAACTGACAGATGGTGATTTTGGCAATGCCAGAGGTGTTCAAGTGATGCTCCAGCTGCTTTGGGATTGCACCTAAGATGATGATGATGATTTTTGGTGCCTTCAAGTCAGCACTGAGTAGTCCCTGCAGTTTTCTTGGCAATATTTTTCGGAAGTGGTTTGCCATCACCCTCTTCTTCCTAGGCCTGAGAGAGAGTGACTGGCCCAAGGTCACCCAGTTGGCTTCGTGACAGGTCTAGAACTCCCAGCCTCTAGCCTGATGCCTTAACCCCTACACCAAACTGGCTCTGTTACAGGAATTATGATTTTTATAAATCATAGTCTTTAACTTTCTAGGTTGCTATTTCTGGCCTATGCTTTCAAACAGCTGCATTTCACCAGTTTTATACAGAGGAGCGCCCAGAAATTGCATTTCCGTCAGTTCTTGCAACCTAATCTCTCTCTTTGGCCATTGGGGATCTGACCCCTGGATACAGCTGTGGCTGGCAGAAGGAACTTCAGTTCATCTTAGTGCAGTTCCTCTCCCCAGTAGCTGAATGGCATCTATGGAGGGAACTTGCAGAGCAAACCTTTGGAGGGGAACTCAAGTATACGACACCGTCCTGTTTTCAGAAAAGAGTCTGAAGAGGAATTTGGCAATTGGACTTAATCCTGGTGTTAGTCTGTCTGTCTGTCTGCCTGTCTGTCTAAATGTATTAGCTGCCATATTACTTTCATAGTACATTTACTTTCATAACTGTTACTATATATCTTCTAATACTATTCATTTACTAGAAGTTGTATTATATCATGCATTTTAAAAATCCTACGGCAGGTTACAGTAGTTATAAAAATATACAGTAAATGCAAGACAAAAAGAAGAATAAAACAGAATGAAAGCGTCCATTGAAACATGATTCACAAAGATTAGAGGGAGACAACAGCTAGGGAAGGTTAACAGAACAATATGTTTTAGGATGCATAAAGCACATCACACAAAGGCCTGATATATTGCATCAAGTTACTCAAAGTTATCAGGATCTGATTATTTAAAGAAGCATCACTTTACCCTGTATAGTCATACTGATTTAAATAGCCTCAACAGTTGTTGATAAGTAATAACCACTGAATTTATAGCAGAACTTAGGAAAAAATGTATTTGGTTTAAGTAGTTCAGAGAGATGCTAGATAAGTCCCCTCACGTGCTCTGAAGCAGCATTTTGCCTTTGAACAATTCAGATTTCAATGGGCCTATTTAGAAACCTACACATGACCAAATCTAGAACCAACCCACTGACTTTTACCTTTTCAGACAATTTGCATTTGGAAAAATGCTCAAAATCTTCCTTTGAAGGTGCTCCTTCTGCTGTGATTCTGGCGTTTCTTTTAATTTCATTTCTAAAAAATATCCCCTGCCAAATTTAGTCTTGAGATGTTGAACTGTTCCAATGCACCTATTTGTCCGGTGGGGGAAAGGTGGGATAGACAGTTTATGAGTCCAATGTCCACACTTATGGTGTTTTAAAACAATTGTCTCATTTAAAAAAAAAATTAAGATGCTAAGGAAATACCGTAACTTTCCGGATACCAAGATGGCCACACGATCACATATTGCCTCTGCTTCTGCCATATAATGTGTTGCCAGAATAGCTGCTCTCTCTTTACTTTTAAAGGCTGCTCGGATTGCTTTCCTATCAAACATAACGCACACTCAGTGAAAAAGAATAGGTTCCCTAACTAAGCCTGTTAAATGGTTTGATTTTAAATGATGCAGTCATGTATTTTTTTAATTTATTTTTTAAATTTTTTGATTACAAAAAGAAAAAAAATACATAAAAGTGCTTTAATAAAGTGAAAAAAAACAAGAGAAAAAAAGTGTTAATATAGCATTATACCAATCATTATACCAATTACCAATTACAATTCTATATATACTTACCTAATACAAATATTATTCAAGTACATGTATATTTCTAATAGATCATTTTATCATTATTTATCACACTATCGTTTTTTTTAACCCAGTGTATTTTGTATAAATGAGTCCCATATTTCATTATACTTATCCATACAAAGTCTATGTCTATAGGCAATCCGCTCATGAAGTGGCAAGCACAATCAGGTCTTCAATCCATTGAATAAATGGGGCCACACATTTATCTTTCCAGTATCAATATCAGTCTTTTGGCCATATCAGTCTTTTGGCCATAGTAAGGGCACAGAGAATCCATTTACATTATCCGGTTGTCAAGTTCCATGTATTAGGTATATAGTTCAAAAGAATATTATCCTCTGAAATTTTTAGCTTTTGTCATACAATCGTATTTATATAGTCCACTAATTTCACCCAAAACTTAGTAAGTATAGGACACTGTAAAAACATATGCTTTAAAGAGGCTTTGTCCTTATTACATCTCCAACAAAATGCTGTTTTTGACAATCTTTTTCTATACAGATGTAGTGGAGTCCGGTAAATGCTAAATATTATTTTTTTGTTTTATAAGTTGTAGTTTGAGGTCTTTTGACACTCTTGCTATAGAATTTAAGACACTCTCCCATTGTCTAGACAATATAGAAACCTCTAATTCTTTATTCCACTCATCCCTTAACATCTGTGTATCAAAGTGATTTATTGATAGCAAATATCTATATTAAAAATAGTAGGTTTTTGGTTTTAAAGGATTTAACAAGTTGTTCTAATATTTCACTTGTCTCAGAAGCTGAAAATGTTGCTGGTCCAATGATGCAGTCATGTATAATGATGCAAAATCATCTGCTGGCCCCTCCATAAACTTGGGGATCCAAGGAAAGCCCAAACTTAGCACTAAACTTTTGTTTTTCTGCACCATGTTCACAGTGTGACAGAGCTACCTATAAGACAGATGGAGTCATGTATAACAATTCCTGCTGATTTCTATGGACAGCTCTCACTTCTGTCTCTGGGAACATTTAAAAATACTCTGTGTAGATGAACCAAGAAAGGATCTATTCATTCTGTCACAGCCCAGGCTCAGGACTCGGTTCTGAATCTGACCCTAAAGAAGCTGCTCCAGCTGAGCCTGTGGAATGTCAGCCTCAGGGGAAAGAAAGCCAGGAATTACATGAGGCTGATCAAACACAGGCACCACCTGAGCAGCTGGAGAAGTCAGCTGAGGATGACATAAGGCCTTCCAGCACCCGACAAGTAGAGAAGAGAGCAGAGCGGTGAGAGTCTATTAGGCTGCTCGCCAAGCAAGGGAGTAAATCTCCTGATTAGTAACAGCTGGCTGTAGCCTTATTTAAGGAGCAGCTCTAGCCCATGCTCTCTTTGCTGGAAACAACATCTGACCTCTGGCTCTTGTGTAATGTTCCTGTAAATCCTGTTTGTGTTTGAAACCTTGAACTTCTGACCTCTGGACTGGCTGACAACCCTGACCTTGCTCTCCAAACCCTGGATTTGGACTTGGACTATTCTTCTGTGCACTCCTAGTTAGAAAGCAAACTCTTCAGGCAAACCTCACTTTTGCTTACATTCCTTTGTTTGCTGCTATCTCTTCAGCCTTGGAGTAAAATCGCTAAACTCCATAAGTGACTGTGTGTGCAGTTGAAACCTGAAGCAGGACACATTCATTTAGGGGACAAATGAATTCATTTAGGAGATATTCTTATGTCTCTTC